GTTTATATTATCAACTGTTTTTACTTCCTTTAATCAACCTTCAAAGTAATAATACAAAAATCGCAGGGCGAAGGTGTCCTTTCGTAAAAAATACGTATTATTACACCAGCCATGAAAAAGTTATTTGAGCATTAGACAAGATATATAGAGTTTATAATGTTTGACTTGTTAGTATTGTAATAACTTGGTTTCATTCTTATTAAAATACTTAGTCAATTTATCTTGCGTTTACATGGCTTCATTCTCAAACATTTTTCAATCTTCCTGATTCAATTTTTACACTTCTGCAATAGTATGCATTATAGAATATCTCAAATCTTTAACTATTCGCGAACAAACATCTAATGTAGATCTACCTCTGCCACTCTTTACTCCAGTTTCTTTTTCTAATACCTCTCTGACTAACACTCCATATCACATAAGGTGTCCTACCATCCTGTCGATCCTTTTTCTTATTGACATTCATAAAGCCCTTCGTTCTCCTATTCCTTTTACTACCTCCTCACATTCAGCATCTTTTATCTACGATTTCTCCATCATCGTTTTGAAACACCACATCTGCAACGCTTTTTCTTCTTCTTCTACTTTTCACACCATGCACATTTCTCGTTCGAATTTGGAAGTAATCGTTCTTGAGTAGCTTTTCTTCGTGAAGGGAGACTTGATTCTGCGGTATTTTTCTTTTGATGTTTCCACCGCTTCTCCATCCTGACTTCTTATGGGTATCGAAAATCGGCGACTTCCACTTTTGGCCTGTATTGTTTATACTACCTCGAACTCTAATCCTCCACTACATACTAACATATTTGTTTTCTTTTTAATCCTTGCTCTTACTGCTTCCTTTTTATTCGGAAGCCACAAAAAACCTGGATCAGCGCAGACAGACTCAGAAGAACAGATATCCACCTGAATGCTACACAATGGTCTCAACCCATACGTCAGGCATGGGTAACCTGCGGCCCGCCGATGAAATTTGTACGCGAAAGGTGACTAATCGTATAATGCTATTTAATCCAGCCCGCCGACTATATGCAATAGTCCAAACACAAATGCTTGCAATTTGTTATGACTTTAATAATATTAAATATGGTTTTGTATTCACTATTTTATATTCGTTTTATACTCCGTATATTGTTCATGTACATGTTCATTTTATAACTATAGAAACTTGTAGGGAGAAAATATATATTCAATTTATTATTTTTATTTACATGATAATTATTTTTAAGCATCTCTTGTTCTCTATCTATAACAATATTTGTATACTAAAAATAAATAATATTCCTGCGAAACATACTTTTTCACAGATTTTATAATTATACATAAGCAATTCTTGACCTTCATGATAAAGGCGTTTGAACTTGAAATTTAAAGACCACCTAGGAATCTCCTGAGCTGCAAAGCAAATTTTTAATCTGGCCCTAAATTAAATAAAACAGAATACTTAAAATAGTACTGATATATCAGTATATTGTGAAGTATTGTCTTGATGATACTGATCGATACTGATCTTTTGTTTTCGTATATCATGTATTAACGCTTCCTAAATTTTGTAGTAAGTATAATAAAACTAAAGCTTCATTTAATGTCTTCTTTATCATTCGAGCCTAAATATTTTTTAATTTTACCAACTTGTCAGATTTGTTGTAGGTAAGGGTTGTACTTCGGATGAAGGATATTTGTGATTTTCGCCGTTATATAGGGATTTACCCTGTATGACCTCGTTTCTAAGTTGCAATAAATCTCGGTGGCTTTGTGCTCTGTTTTTGTGTACTCGTCTTCACCGACAGCCACGTTCACATATATGAAATTCTTTTTCCAAAATGCCTACGGCACACAGCCTTCCACTCCAATTTACTAGTTTCCATCTTGGAGGTTTTCCAATTCGCTGAGGACACAATTTTCATCCGCCTAGGAAAGTTCGTTGAACGCTAATAGCTTTTAGGAAACATAATTTGAATTTGTCCGTATTTCGTCTGCTCCAACGATCGGGTTGTACGTACTTCTTATTACTAGCAGCAGTAATAGGAAGAATATCGTGCGCCTTCATGCACCTATATCTTCGTTCGTGGCTTCGTTACGTGTTGTTTACATTCAACGATCTATCCGATGGCTTATTCAAACTGCTCTTCACTTTCTAACTACACCCTAAGCTTTTACTATGTAACAACAGTAACAAATCAGGTGCATTCACCTTGACGTATATTGTGGAAAGTTTTGAATGCGTATTACTTATGAAGTTAAACATGGGGGATATCTCCGGGCATCAAGAAAAGTTTATGGTAGTTGCGATATAGTCAGAACTGCTAAATCGTTGCATTACGTATATTATTTTATATAACAAGCGTTATTCATTCTTCCTTTAGGCAATTTACTGTTTTAAAACTGATTCCTAAACTTATCAAAATTTAATTTAGGTAGATAGGTAGGTATTGTATATTTAACGACAACTAAAAAGTTTAACTGCTGCCCGCCAAATTGAAAGAGAAATTACACAGTGGCGCGAAGGATGTACAAATTTGTGTCACACCAATAGTGGTTATTGTTATCCAAAATGCCGTCCCATGTGAAGTAAAATCAGTAATCAACACTATAGGGAAAAAAATAGGGTATGCAGTACCTTTCCTTTCAAACCATCGACACAAATCCAGTCGCGGCTGAAAATCAGTTTCAAGCGAAACTTACACTCGCTGCAAACGATAAGGATGCAGCAACTGTTTCTTTAAAAATTGCCATAATTGCTATTTCGCGTACTATTTTGGGGGATTGTCTTCTTTGAAATCGATCATGTCGACCCTATAGCAGCGATTTGGTTCACACTTGTTCTACAGAGACTGACCTACATTAATAATTAGTGTTATATTGCTGAATTTTAGTTTATTGAACTGCACAAGGTTTAAAAGTTAAAAAAATAAAGCTACTAGTGGTTGGCTAAACAATACATGAGCAAAAAACTACACTGATGCTGGTAATCACCAGCTGATTGAGTGTAGCGTTGCAGACCGTATTTCTTTACCAGGGTCGGAATTGAATTTGCTTACTTTATTTGTACTTTCAACTACGTTTTTCTTCTTTTGGACATTTAAACATTTGCTTAATTTTAATGTTTTATAATGCTCTATCACCTCCTGCAAAATCAGCCCTTGTTTCTTTTACACCCCGTATATTCTAAAGAAACAATTTACATAGAAAGTATACGGTTTTTTCTGAAGCCTTTGTGTTCCACTTTCATTGTTAATTAAGGCTGTCTTTAATGTGGCTGCGGGACATAAAATGACAAAAAGGGGCGTTTAAAACGAAATCACCGGTCGTCCCTTCTGTCCGATCAAACTTTCCATTCCTAGTCATTAAATGCCATTAAATTATCTGTAACAGCCCTCGGGCAAAGTTCTGAGGAATATTGTCTTCAACGTTTACTGCATATAAATGCGTAATTAAATCGCCATCTTTACTGTTCAACTACAACGTAATGAACACAGAACTCAAGAGTTCGGACACCCCCGACGCTAATTTACCACTTGCTGGAGTAAAGTAATGCAATACACACAACTTTAAAGGCAAACGATGAGTTGCAAACATTTGTTACTCCGTATTTTGTAATAGTAGGTATTTACCAACTTTCTTTGACAACCACTCGCTCCGGCAATGTTGCTCTTCCAACGTTAACTAAATTTGAAACTCCGAAATGTTCACTACCTTAAATTATTGTAACACAGGAACCGCACTACTCCATGGGCTCGTATAACATGCATTTGCCACATGGACTTTATAATAAGAGTAATAATAAACCTAACCTAACCTCCTGTAAGGTTCCTGGCTTACGCTAAATAGTTCCAATTTTTTTTAAATGATCGTATCACGGCCGCATGGAATTAGTAAGGAGTTCCTAAAAGGATTACAATACAATAACAGTAATGCCAGGACCGGACTTGAATACGTTTACAATACGACTGACAGTTCATGTACGTTTTCAATAGGGGTGTCATGTCAGGACCGGATCGGGATAAATAAGGAATCTCCTAACAGGGCTATGATAAGGCAGGCAAGCCAGGACCCTATACGATTAAGCAAGGATTTTCGTAACAGCGACCAAGTATGCATACTAGACCCTGATCTGGTCCGAAAGTTTCTTAGGGATAACCCTATTTTACTTTTAGTATAGGGATGTCTCCTCCTCTTTTATAATGGAGCAGTCCAAATAGAAATTCGAAAAAAACTGTTAAAGGTGTATGTTTGGAGCACGGCGCTGTACGGATGCGAAACATGGACAGTGGACGCGGCGGAAAAGAAAAGGTTAGAAACGTTCGAAATGTGGTGCTAGAGGCGAATGATGAGGATACCGTGGATAGAGAAGGTTAGAAATGAAGAGGTATTAGAAAGAATAGGAGAACACAGGATTCTATGGAAGTCAATAAAAAATAGATGAGATAGGTTAGTAGGACACCTTCTCTGGCATGAAGGTCTAGTCAGAGACATATTAGAGGCAGAAACAGAAGTTAGGAGGGGTAGAGGTAGACCTAAATTAGATTATTGTTAGTAAATAGTTAAGGATATGGGCTTTTCTAGTTTCAGGGAAATGCAAAGGTTAGCTCAGGATAGGAAAGAGTGGAGGTGCGTGTCCAACCAGTCTTAGAACTGACGACCTTCCAAATAGATTATTTATAATGATTTAATAATTGATATCTTAAAATATTTGAAAATCTACCTATACGTTTATCACATCACATAAATTTTCGGAAAGGAGACGTTGAAAACCGTATTTCCGAAAGTAGTTACAAATTTTGAAACCGACAATATCTTCACGTCCAACTCTTACGCCCTGTAGGTACGTGACTCTGAAAACACAAGGGCCTTATTATAAATTCCCCAATTCTGAGTCGGCGCGGCGCGGCGCGACGCGTCGCTTTAATTCTCGACGTCGAGGGGGCGTCGGTTGGCCGACGACGACGTCGCGGACTAGGAGGCGCTCGCGTTCGCTTAGATTCCCGACCGTCGTTTACTAAAACGGACGTCGCGACGGACCTTTTGGCGCTCGTGAAAGTTTAGTTTCAACACAAAAAATTTTCATCATCGTCGTCTCTTAACGTTTGCGACAAAGTATGTGGAAACGAAAATCTTTAAGGACTTTTTGAACTTTGTGATGAGTTTTAGAACGTGTCGTTGAAATTTGGGTAAGCTCCAAAAAGTTTTAATTACTAAAAACGTAATTAATAAAGTTACAGATAATTGCCTAATGGCTCGAAAGTAAATTTTCTGGTTTCAATTAGTTCTTCACGAATCACGAAGATTAGATTTTGGAGTTTATAAGCAAATTGTCACTTATTTCCCTCAAAATTACATTATTAAACGTCGGTTAAATTGATTTTGTATTACCTACCTACAATCCATCGCTTTCCTTGCTAACCCCAACTACTCAAGAGTTTTCTTGCTAAAGTTTTATTATACAATTAAAGGCATTCATAAGGTATATAGATTTCGATGTAACATCGATTTTCGATATTTTATTTCTTTTAAGCATATCTTAATCTTACTAGGCTCATGTTTAAATTTAAATGTTACGACATCCATTATGTTCTTTACAACTAAAATGATATATGTACCATCAGTATATTAGGAATGCGATTTAAATAGTCAATCATCAAAAAAGCACTATCGCAAACAATAGAATGAAGTCTAAGCAGTCTGATTTTTTCCCTTACTTATTAATTTGAACCATACGTCTTTAACTAGCCAATTTTACTGACTAATTAATAGGTATATTACGGACAATTTGGCTAAATAGCGATTAACATAATTGCTATAGGTATATTACGTATATTGACCAACTTGTGCAGATAATTTGATAAATTAATTACTATATCTAGATATTGTTTATTCATAAAAGCTAGTTTTTGATGGTTAAAGTAATAAACATAGGTATAAAGAATATAACCGAATGTCAAATAAAGTTAAGAAGGGAGGACATTCCCAAGCAAAAACTGCAGAAGTGAAAAAACCTAGGGCAGATTGAATCTGCCTCAGAAGGTTAAAGTTGCCTTAAGTCTTTTTTTAATTTTCACCGGTTTTGCTAGGTCTTCATTTTTTAAATTTAACTACATTTGTGATTCATTGCTTTTATCTACCTCTGCAATATAAAATAAATTAAATTATACATAATCGCTAGGTATTGGTATAAATAATATGTAGAGTAATTATTTTGATTGTAACAGCTACACCATTAATAGAATTATTAATAAATAATACAGGAAGTTGTACAAAACAACTTTTATAAAAGAAAATACGCCAATCAAAAGCTAAATAAATTAGAAGTGAAATTGACTTCTTAAACATTCAACAAGAAAATAATAATAATTTTAATATAACTGTAATAAAAATTATTTGCAGAATAAATAAATACAACAGTACAAAATGTCGAATTATCTACTACGAAAATATCCACACCCTTGCCATGCAACTCGTTGTTTGTATTAGACAGTTGATGTTACATGTAGCTAAAAAATTTGCCCTACATTTCCTCAGCGTAATAATTAAGAGAAAAGCGAAAAAGTTCTTTTTTGAAGTTATAGCATACAATTTTTGGTTTTTCAATGAAAAAGTTTTCTCACACCTTAGAAGGGAAAATATCTGTTTTCGACACCTTGCCACGTAGAGGAAGTGTAGAATAACATTTTTCCAAAGAAGTAATTGTTTTACCGCCGTCGCATCTGAACTACTAATGCTACACTATCTTCCAGTCACACATCCTCACCTCAAAAATACTCCATCAACGTTTTTACGTTGTAAACATATTTTTTTGGTCAAAATGAAAAGATTATAATCACTCAAAAATTAATTGCAGTCAAAATGTTTTTTTAGTAGTACATAATTTCATATTTAATTTTATTATTTATAATAGAAAGGGATTTCAATGCCTATGAAAGAGATGGCAAAAATATGCAAATTCTGTCTATATTAAAATAGCTTTGTATTGTTTTATTAGAACAGCAGGGTGCGATGCTAAAAATAAATATGTTGAATAGCTTTTGTAATCTATTTATGGGTATTTAATTAACAAACTTATGAAAAAGTACTTATGTGTGTAGGTATAAAACAGAATATCACATTAATTAAAAAAATTTATAATAAACTGAATATAGGTAGTCGATAAAATTGGAAGGATAAAGTAGGAGGGAATTTGATTTCTGTACACCATATCATATATATAAAAAGCATATAACACAGGCATCAACATGCCTGTAGTGTACCTACTTTAAATTTAGTTTTAACCCGATTAAACAGCCACTGTTGCGATTAAGTTTGTACAAAATCATCTACAATACGTAAAATCATCAGAAGACCACTACAGCTATTATGTTATTTTTTTTTATTACATAAGACCCAAAGAAGAAGAAAATCTGTTTTTGCAATTCCTCGTACCTCAATCTAACATAATCTATTGATTATTGACACTTTACATAATATGACAATCAGGAAATCCTCTCTGATTAACACCTATTCTAAACGCTTTACACAAGCCATTCAAGATTCCTCAAAACCGTAATCTAATTTAATCTACCATAACCTACCTAAATTTAAAATCATGGGAAGACCGAAAATTGATAAGTGCACTCAATGTCAAAAGATACTGATTTTTTATACAAAAGATATTGCTTGAGCCTAATTCGTTTGACATATGACCCATATAACGAAACAGCAATTCTCTGTAATGATGCCACATTTGAACGGGGTGAACGTGTCTAAAAATAAAAAAGAACTTTGTGTGGACGACAAGGTGCGAATGAAAAGAAAGAGATAAACAAGCGAAGACGAACTCCATTATCCTAATTTCTCTTTCAGTATCAGGCATTAAAAATTTCATTCATGAACTTCTGTTGTTTTTTCATACTCTACACGTTACGAAAGCTTTCAATACCGAAAGAAAATGGACGTTCCCTTGAGTTTCGTCGTGAGGGGTTTATATTGAATTTTTCTTTTCCATTTTCGACGGTTTCAGCTTCTAACTAATAAGTGGTTAAATTTAACATATATGAATACGAGGGTCGGACTATCAATAAATTACGCATTCAGTTGGCTTAGCGTTCTCCCAAACCTAAAACGTCAATCGTATCTATCAGTTAAATTGAAAATCCGCTTTAGTCCCACGAGAATCAGCTAAAAAGTAATAATTGCGTCTTCAAACCAAAAAAGACAACTATTCAGTTTTAAACAAATAGGAAGTAACTAAAAGACATTCAGAAGGATTTTTGTAGGGTAATTTTAACACATTAAGATGAATTCATTTTTGAAATAATTTTTTTTTGCCACTACAGATTACATCAAATTAATGAAGAAAACTTGTAAATTAGAGACATTTTCGGCACTGGACACTTATTTGATATTAACTTTAAACAAACATACTTAAATGGCTTTAGGTATTCTGAAAAACTATAAATTTACCTATTTAATTACACTCTAATAATGTTTCTAATTATCTTCTATAAACAGTTTATTTAGTGGTAATGTGATGTAATATGGCCGAAGTTTGATGATCAAACGTATTTACTTTAAGAATAATAATGTTAGTACTTAAGTATGTATGTAATATTAATAAATAATAAACAATATAGGTAACAATTTGTTATTTTGAAGTTGATAAAGAACACAGCGCGGAGGTTAAGTGGTACCAATTATAGCAGTTCTAGAAAGGGTTGTTAAATACATTAAATTTTTGAAAGCATAAAGTAATTAACAACAAAAAGCCTGCTGTAATATTAATATTATATGGAAGATGAAGGTCGCTTTTATCAGAAAGAAATCACTTCTGTGCTGAGAACTATTAATTTTTGAGTTCGAAAGGATTGTTAAAAGTGTACGTATGCCTGCAACACGGCTCTATATCGATGGGAAATGTGGACGGTGTGAGCGGTGAAAAAGAAAAAGTTAAAAAAACGGCTCAACGTATGATAATGAAATGTTTTTTTTATGAATTACACCGCACCGTTGCCAATACCGTAATTTGCATGTTTAAGGTTTCAACGTTCAGGGTAAGTTAACCGTACAATGATTTTTTAAGTTAACTAAGTTCCACCCTGATAGGAATTGAAATCGGCAGCCAGATCAGGCGTCCAGCAATAGTAGGTACTCACATATAAAGAAGCCTTTCGGTGTTCGAAGTCCACCGCCTAACACATTAACGGCTTTCCTGTCTGCGAGTATACGTATTGCCGGAAATGTGTGAAATTTAGGAAGTGTATACAATTATACAACAAAGTATACAAGCATTATTTTTATACATTTCCTAGTACAATATCGGAATTTCATACAATTCCTAGAGAATGTATACAATTCCGAGGATATTTTGGAAATGTATAAAATATTGTTTCAAAGATTTTTTAATACACACATATCCTGGGAAATGTATACATTTCCTAGGAATTGTATGAAATTCCGATATTGTACTAGGAATGTATAAAACTTAATGCTATTTGTGAATAAAATGAATAAAACATGTTCCCTAGACAAAAATTTTCAGTATCTCAGAATCTTTCAGAATCTTTCAGAATCTTTCAGCGTCTCTGAGAGCGTCTCTCACAGTCTCTCAGTTATTGCCTAGGTGTTTTTATGGATCTCTCACACTCTCTGTATGAGAGACTCGAACGATAAAATTGTTAATTCAGAGATTCGAGTCTCTCACAGAGAGACTGAATGAATAAAACTGAAAAATTGAGAGACTCGAGACTCTCGTAGAAAGACGGGGATCTCTGAAATATATTGAACTTAAAAAATTTTAACCATGTCTATCGAAACACCACTTATTGAGATTCGAGTCTCTCGTTCAGAGATTCAAGTCTTTCGTTCAGAGACGTTAAACAATTTTTTTGGCAGTCTCTCGACAGTCTCTCTCAGCGACACCAGAGAGACTCGATTCGAGACGGAAACTCGAGTGTCGCTTTTAGAGACTCTGAGAGACGGAACATTTTTATCTCGGGTTAATAAACTGAGAATCGGACTTATCTGTGTTTAAGGGCTTCTAGTGCGATCGTCTGATCGGATATCGCAATCTTGAATGTAATACATTCCCGATTGCTTTTTTGGAAATGTTTGTAATATAATTATTATTTTACACATGTTTAGGCGATTTTAAGAATTATATACATTTCCTAGGAATTGTACACAATGACGGATTACACAA